CCCCTCCCCTAATCCCAAGGAATAAAAAAAACCCTCAAAAAACAAACAACAACAACATTCCAATCACCTCGAAATGAATGATTACCCGTAACTTAAACTTTTCGGATCCGGTTCTGAAATAGGCGAAGCCGCGTCACGACAAGACCCCTTAAAATAAAACCACCCATCTCTCGAGAAACAGACTGCACCATCCAAGATGGCTGACGATACAGGAGCAGAGGCGGAGAAAAAATTCGATGGGATGGAGCGGTGGGCGGGGCGTGTGGCGTTAGTGACAGGGGCCACCGAGGGCATCGGAGAAGCTATCGTGGAGGAGCTGGTCAAAGCGGGCATGACTGTTGTGGCCGTGGCCCCAAAGGTGGACGCTCTGGTGGTGAGTGACACATTTTTGCATGTTTTAGTATTTGTAAGAGTTTTACAGCCCTTACAACGTAGTTTGGTTAAATGGTCGCGGGAGATTTGAGGTGTTACAAGGGGGTACCCCCCAAAAACAAACAAACAAACAACAACAACGAACAAACAAAGAAACAAAAACAACAAACAAACAAACGAAACAACCAAGAACACCCCCCCACCTTAAAATATAACCAAAATAAAAGGGGAGATATAAGAACGAATAGATGTTTGATAGCAAAGAAGGAGCAAACCACACCAGAGCATCCACCAACCACCTACAAATAAAACAGCCGCAACCAACAACTGCAACCCATGGGCCAACATCAACTACAGCAACAATTCTGTTGACATGGTAAAAAACCCACAATAACAACAAAGACGACCACAATTGCGACAACATGCCATAACATACCAGAGGTAATCTTAGATACATTATAAACTATACGAATTAAAAAAAAAACAACAACCAATAAACTCGCAGGCAAGAAAAACAACATTCAAATCTCAGCATCAAGCAATGGTCGCTGTTCTCGTTTTGCTGGCGTCGTTATTGTCGTTGTTGCTGTTATTGTATTGTTCTTGATAGCTAACTATTCTATTGGTCGTTGGTTCAGCAGTTGAACATTTTTTCATTTATGTGGCATTAGCGAAGCAGTAAGACATAGTCTCTCTCCCCCCCCCCTCACCATTTCTACTTTGAAAACACCCTTACCCCCACTCCCTCACCCCTACAGTTTCTTCTTCGTAAACACCCCCACCCCCAACCACCATCCCCCTTTGAAAAAAGAAAAAGCCAATAAAATAGCAAGTTTAAAAATAAATCAAAGCAAAAACATCGGTCATTGAAAGGGCAATACGTAGTCGTGAGAGTGCGTCACAGAAGCCGGTTTGGCAGCCATGGGCACCACCAGGAAACAGTT